AAAGATCAAAGAGTTTGTTTCTGTGTTGGCTACTCCGTGGAAGTGCTTGAGAGTGAGTTGGGAGATCTGTGTTAAGAAGGTGAGAGTGGAGCAAAAATATAGGCATTGATTAAAACCACTAAAAAAAGGTCCAAGGGGGCAAGGTTTATATTCCCTTAAACCGAAAAACTTTCAAACTATTCTTTTTTTCTTTTTTTTTTTTTTTTTTTTTTTTTTCTTTTTTCCTCTTTTTTTTTCCCATATTACTGTACAGATTATCATATACCTTAAGTTTGGCCTTACTAGCTTTTTAGCTTTTTTCTGAGCATTTTTATATTCTTTAAGTTTTGATCATTTTTATTACATTGTCAAGTTTTATAATGTAATCGTTTTCGTTAATGACCTTCTGAAACTCATCAGTCCACCACCAAGTTTCTTTATTAGAATTTATTTTCCCTCTAGATTATCCTAAAACATCGTTTTTCACTTTCTTAATACAATCAACCATCTTATTCCACATAATATTGACCTCATGCTCAAAGTTCATTTTTCCTTCTTTAACTAATTATCCTTAAATAAGTCTATTTTTTTCATTTTTTAAATTCTACCACTTAGACATTGGACACCTATTAATTTCACCCTTTCTCTTCCATGTCTTTATGCAAATGTCCATAACAACAAGACTATGTTGCGTAGTCAAGCTATATCTTGGGATAACCTTATAGTCTTTACATGATGATCGATCTAACTTTTTAACTAGGAAGAAGTCTGTGCGGATTTTATATGATCTAATTTTATACATTACTAAATGTTGATCTTGTTTTTTAAATTAAGTGTTTATTATAGCTAGTTTGGAGGGCATAGCAAAATCTAGAATAACATCACCCATATAATTTCTTTTACAAAACCCGTATCCCCCATGTACACCTTCATATCCTCTATTATCCTTCCCTACATGACCATTTAAGCCCCATACTAAAAAGTCCTCTCACCATTTGGTATCTCTTGGACTGGTCCATCCATATCCTCTCAAAATTATCTCTTAATTCTATCCTCTAATCCTACATTTAGTACATAAGGGGCCATCTCTCACACACAGACCATAGTAGGGGTTCACGATTGTGCTACCAAAGTCAGCCAATAGGCAAGGGGATACAATCCCAGTCTATGGATTACAGGTTCTCCCTAGAGAGGAGTTCAAGGTCACACATATTTGATACAATCACAGCTCTATGGCCCATAGGGGCAATCTCTCTCACATGTACACGTTTCACCTTCAATAGTGATTTGCTTTCCCGATATGGCTATCATATGTACATGTCGTGTGACGATTCAGTGATGAGGCTTCGGCCCTCGTCTCTAGCGGCCAACCATCACATACAAGGATCACAGAGTTCCTTGGCTCACGCACCTGGGCAACTCCGACCTCATCAAGGGATGACCCAGAAAACCCTCATCAATTTTGTTTCATGCCCAGGAAATAGGGGCTTTCCAACTCGACTGGCTTAGCAAATCAAGTCAAGTCTGAGTATAGACAAATGCATTTGCCTATCTCGGTCCCTCTGGACCATAATCTCTTGGTCCCTTAGACCACAATCTCTTGGTCCTTTAGGACCATATTCTCTTGGTCCCTCAGAACCATACTCCCATTAGAGTTTTTTGTTCCACTATATCAGATATTAATTACATGCTCTCATAAGGCCTCTAATGGCCACATAAACCCCACAAGAAGAAGAGAGAGGGCCAACAAAGGCGCCTACAGACACCACCGCCCTAGGTGGCCACCTACGTCTAGGTGATACGCCTACGGCCTTTGCCCGAGGCAAGCAACTTTTTGAACACTGGCGACACCATGATCAAACATAATATTTGGAGGGAACACAATTTTCTATCAGAAGAACACATTGAATGTTGCAACCTTGCCATGGAAAAGAATGTCATTGGTGAAATCATGCTTTTGAACAATATTTTTAAAGTCAGAAGCTTCTTTACCCAGAAAACCATAACACGACCTCAATGATCCACAATCGTGATAGTTAACTTTGTACCGACAATGGCCTTCAACATGCCATCAAACATACTCAATATCAATCCAATATAAAGTATGGGATTTGTTACACCTGGAATTGCATTCCTCAAAAAACACAATGTAGGTATGGGCAACTAAGAAGGCATCTTCAGGTTCAACTTACTATTTCCAAGTAGATCCTTCGGAGAAAATGAAAAAAAAATGCTCATCCTCAATGTGACAAACATGATCAACACTTGCTTTCTTTCTACATACAAGTCCATGCCAAAAGTCTTCCACCAAATACTTAGCAAGTAGACACCTTATGTAGAATATCTTCGTGAAAGCACCTTGCAGCATCTTCACAAAATAGTGATTACTTACATTCATAGGAAAGGTGACCTCTTCCTCAGCATCCCATTCATGCCTTATGGATTGGACTCGAATTGAAAACTCTTGCGGTAGTGAGGTTGACTAGCTGTTCGCCTGAAAAGAAGGCCAACCAGCATCCGGGAGAGGAGATAAAGGTGGCAATGGAAGCCTTATATTTGTGGATAAGCATGCATGGGAGATAACGGGACAAAAGGCTGGCTCAAACCAGAGGCTGTTTTTTGGACACTCGCGTTGTTGAGAAGATTATGAGAAGCAAATACAATTATTAACCTTTCCTGGTGTTCGCATAATAAACAATGAAAGAGAAGACATTGAGGCAGATAAAGCAGTCATAACTTTTTTATAGAACAGGAATTCTTTAGCATTAAACCACACATCAGTAACACCTGCTGTATAGGTTCATCTATGAGAATTATGTGACCATCAGCATCAAAGGCTGCTTCATCTTCTTCTTTTTCGTACCAGGCACAATTGGCATCTCGCTCAACATTTTCCATCCCGACTTTCACTCTTATGGTATCATCATGACAACCTTCTTTAAACCAAGAATTTCTATCAAATCCATCATCTTCATCAAAGATAGGGCGTACATAAAAAAATGGGTGTATCTTTGATGATTGATTTCCCCACAAGATCTTGTTCCACATTATAAATCAGACCAACTATGGGATTAAAGAAGGCGGAGTTAAACTGAAAATGGGAAGACATAGTGATGACATACCTACAATCAAGCCTTTCTCATGTGGCTCTTCATAAAAAATAGGATCACCTACGAGATCAAGAAGGGTGATTCAATTTGAAAATCAGAAAATATGCCTCATCCTCAAAGGCAGAGACATCGTCTCTCACCTGGTTATGAAGTTGATTGAAATCCACTGAACTGACACATCACTATGATTGGAATCAAATCCTCAATTGTCATGAACAACTAAACATCTTTCAGAGCGAATGAGGCACTCCACTCAAAACTCCAATTCCTTGGCTGTCCTCTTCAAGATCTTAAAATCTTCCAGTGTTGGTACAGCACCACCACCTTGGCCATCACCAACACGTTTTCCTCTAGATTGCAGCAGGTCTATGGGCGCTTAGGGGGAGAACTAGCTCTGTAACTAGATGATGCAAATTCATAAGCTCTCTTCAATGGCTCTGAGAATTCACAAGAATTCAAGGAAATCATGATTCTAAACAAGAACTCAAATCTGAATTCATTCATGGGGCACTCCTGCCTACAAGTCACTCTATGGAAAATAAAAATAAAATAACAATAAAATCGAAGGTCTTTTCGCTCTCTTCCGATTACATGTCTTCTTTCTACTCCTATTTTCTCTCTCCCGAATCCCTCATTTTAAGGACTCCAAATCCAGTTCTTAAACACATTTTCCCTCCTATGTCCTAGGCCTCTCTCTAAAGAAAGCTACACAAGTCCCTAAATTTTGGTCTCGACATGAATATGCCTCACTTGTCCCCATCTCTTAGGAGTCACGTGACTATCTTTTATCCTTCATCCCTCTTCTAACTAGTAAAACGTCCCACCATAATAGGACCTCAATGCCACCCTTTAAGGGGTTCAAGAAACTCTAAAACCGTAGGAAATAAATTTTTACTAAATGACTACCCATGCCCGCAATTATAAATAATAATCCCATCTAATCCCCATTAGCTACTATTTCTAAATTAATAAAAATCAATAAACAAAAGTACGCCCATGTCCCTGAAAATAAACATTAAAAAAATAAAAAATACAGGTTGGCAGTTCATGCATCACATTCCCATATACCAACAATACATCGAACTTTCTTGTAATAACACTATGAACACTCAACCTCTGAATATCTAAACAAGTACCTACATGAAGTGAATGCAAAGAGGCAAACTAGTAGTTCTATGTTTCATCTAAAATATAAATATGTCCTAAATAACATAACCTGTACCAGATGCAAAAACGTTTATATTTATCACAAGAAGTGTTTCCCTTTATGTTTCCCTTTATTTCTTTCTTTTCTTTTTTGTGAGAGCATCCAGTATTCATGCAGATTAAGAATGACTGCATATGGTACACAGTTTCTGTATTCAATTAGCAGGTCTGAAAGTCTAAAATCCATATGCAAGATAAAGAACTCAGCACTCAATTTCAAGAACAATAATTCTGATAGGAAGATCATGTGTGTGTGTGTGTGCACACATTCAGGTAACATTCACATTATGTTTAAGCCAGAAAACATTCATTAGACTGTTCAAAATGCTGTGAAGCTATCAAAAAAGTCACGTATAAGGACACCTAAATGGCATGCAAAATAGAACATGCAGGAATAATGACTAAAATTCAATTTGAATCCCCATTGGCGAAGCACATAATATATACATGAGGTAGGTCGGATAATGTGGGAAGTCAAATGCGTAATAGCATATGTTCGAAGGTGATGTACAAGACCATAAGAGACCCAATAATAGAATGTTGAACTTGTCGTAAGGGAAAAAAACACTTAAATGGCCTTTCCGACAAAAAGATTGGCATGCAGCAATTTCTCTCATTATTAACTGCATGTAGATACTAACAAAATCAATCAAACAAAGCAGTAATTTTATAAAACAATCACACAGGAAATGCAAATGGCCAGACCTTTTCAGTGTCATGCAAAGCAATCCAAATGCTTGTTGCAACATCAACATCTTGCGAAAGTGAACGACCAACAACAGATGGAATACACTTCACGGCATTCAAGCAGGCAAGCCTCACATGGACATCTTTGGCATATACTCCACAAAGAGCCTAATAGGCACAGCATGAACAAACAAATATCACGACAAAACCACAATATGGTGAAGTCAATATAGTCAAAGGAAACAGACAAATTAGGGAAACTTACTTGTGCTACTTCATCTTGCTTTAGCCCTAAGCACAGTTCATTTAGCATTGGGCCAATTGACACTTGATAGGCAGGAACAACACTGAGAGCATGATAAAGGACCTGAAAAGACAAGGCCAATCCAAGTGACAAGCAGAACAGAAATTTTCGCCAACCATAAATATACCTAAAACTAAAATGTGAAGGAATTTAAAGTTTTCAGAAAGTAACTGATATCATTCGAAGCCGAGGAAGAGGTAACACAGGATCCAAGTGCATAGAAATGATTCCGAGCACATCATCATGAAGATTTGTTTTCTTCGGATACAAGAGAATCTGCTCTAAAATCTGAAAGGGATGAGAACATCCGTAAATTAGCACCACAAGACAACAAAATCAAGACCAATATTCGAGCATAAAGAAAAAACAATAGAAGAAAATTACTTATCGAGAAGGCATGCCTGCCCTCCCCCATGCAACAGGTGGCAAGCAACTTCCATTTTAAAAAA